AAATGATGACTTTTGGGGGTGGATCTTCCAATGCTGAACCAACACTGCCATCCCTATAACAAAACCACTTTCTACATACTGCCAGATCTGACTTCCAATAGTTTGTTAATGTTAAACAAATTTTTATCTATGTTCATACATTTTTCTTCTATTATCTTTATCCAGTTTTAGGATTAGCACAATGTTGAGCTCCTAAAATGAGGGGAGAAGTGTTCCTTCTTTTTGCTGCTTTGTTTGATGTAATTTATCAGTTAAAATGTTTATGAGCCTGCTGTTATCATATAGGTAAGTTTTCAAGCTAGGAATATACTTTCTTTAATAGGTACTATTCAAATTTTATATTTCCTCCAGAGTTAGTTTCATTAATTTGTCTTCCAAGGTACTTCTTAGAAGTTGTCAAATTTGTTTCAAAAAAGATTTTTGTAATATGCTTTCTATATCCTTTCAAATTCTGTAAAATCTGTGGTAATGTCTCCTGGATCTTGATATTGTAATTTTAAAAGTGTATAAGTGATATTGTGTAACAGGAAGAAAAGGTCTAAAAGAGCAGGGGAATTGGGAGGGGTAGGGGAAGCGAAAAAAGAGAAAGGAAAAAATATGAGAAGAGAAGAAAAATGGAAACAAGGTCTTTGCAAATAGGGAAGGGTGGAGGGGGTAAAGGGAGGGCAAGGGAAGGGGGAAAAAAAATAAGAACCAAGAGACTCATGTAATGGTACAAGATCCCAATGATGAATGTAACTGTACTGTATACCGAAAATGTACCAATCAACTTAATGGGGGAAAAAAAATACATAAATGAAATAAAAACATTGAACCACACACACACACACACACACACAAAATCAATGCCGGGGTCTTCATTAACAGTGTTGAACCACTATCAAAACTGTTTCTGACCATAAAATATAAATACATCTAAGACATAGTAGAATGCCAATTATAAATCAGCTTCTATTTTTAAGCATGCTGAAAGCAGTAATATTTATGTGATGCTGTAACTATCTGGTGCTTCACATTCCATTTCTCCTTCCAAGAGGCCTACATCATTCCTACAGCTGAGAAGAGTATCCCTATTGATTCCAATACTCCCAGTTCCCAAATTCTAATTAGTCTGCAAAAACCGCAAAAATGCACCCAGTGATTTCATACTGTCTACAAGTTTAATCAACGTTAAGCTGCAACTGTCCTGTTACCATTTCCCCTCATCATAAGTGATCTGGACCCTTCCAGGGCTGCCTGCAGTCTCCTCCCCTGCTCTGTGACACCCAAGCCCCACACCCTGGGCTGCCACATTCGCTTCCCGGTTGCTCTCTGGGGCAGCAGGGCGGAGGGCAGGAAGAGGCTGTGTGGGGCACCAAGGTGGGCAGTGAGGAGATGCAACGCTTTCACACAGAGAGCCGATCGGCAGGTGAGCAGAGGACGCAAGCATCACATGACGTGTGCATGTACTGACATCCCAGAGGACCCCAGAGGGCAAGTTAGGTGTCCCGTTGTTTTTCTGTTTGTTTTCTGTTTTGAGACAGGGTCTCGCTGTGTACTCCAGGCTGGCCCCAAAGTAACTATGCAGCCCAAGGTGGCCTTGAAGTCAGGGTGATCCTCCTGCCTCAGCCTCCCAAGTGCTGAGATTACAGGCATGCACCATAATGGCCGGCTAGGGGTCATTTTTTTTTTGTATAGGGGATGGAACTCGGTGCCTTGCGGTTTCGAGCTAAATCCCCAGAACCACTGAGCTAAATCCCCAGCCCTAAGTGTCATTAAAAAAAAAAAAAGTTTCTCATGTACCTCTCTATTTCCATTCTTATTTCCTATTTATACACAAACGTGCACACATCTGACCACATTATACATGTTATTTACCAACTTATATAGTCTGAGATCTTTCCATGCTTTTACTCAGCTGCCTTCCCTTCTACAACTGCAAGTTACTCACTACACGGAAAGACCGCACATCACATTATCAGTCCCCCAGCCTTGTTCTGACTACACTCGCTTGAAATACTGTTCCACTTTAGAGTCGGGGCTGGGCAATACCTTGCATTTCTGCTCCAGACACTAATGAGCTTCAGCAGAGGAGTGGGCGAGTACTGACTCTCACATCCAAGTCGGCAGATCTAGGAGGCAAAACAAAAACGTATGTCACAGGAAAACAACAAGCAAAAAATTCAGTGTGGTGGCGCACACTTGCAAACCCAATACTCCAGATGCTGAGGCAGGAGGATCACTGTGAGTTGGAGGCCAGCCTGGGCTCCACAGTGAGACCCTGCCTCAAAAAGCAAAACAAAACAAAACAAACAACAACCAATAAAAAGAACATGTACAGAAGCCATGCCGGAGGATGAAACAGTCGAGGGACAGAAGTTAACAGGTAAAGGTCAGAGGACGGAAGAGGGAAAGGTACAGAAGAAAGGGAAATGGCAGAGAGGCGCCGGGAAGGTCTGGACAGCTGGCTGTGCCGTCATCGAGTGGTGACCACCAGAGAAATCAAACGAGTGAGGGAGGGAGGCACCTGTGTGTCTCCTCTTGGGCCTGTTATGCGGGATGCCACACTGGTCTCAGAGACATGAACGGATTCACATTAGCCTCTAGTATGAATGATATGGTAGTTCAGAAAGCAACTCAGGGTCTTTAGTTTGATGGTAGAGGAAAAGAAAAGTGTTCATAGAACTTCCAGAAATAAGCTAAGTGTGATGGCACGTGCCTGCGATCCCAACACCCTGGGAGGCTGAGGCAGGAGGGTCACAAGTTCGAGCACAGCTTGGACAACTCAGTGAGACCCTGTCTCAATAAATAAACAAAGGGCTGGGGATGTAGCTCAGTGCTAATGCCCTGGGTTCAAACCCCAGTGCCACATACACAAACACAAAAACAAGACTAAATGCCCCAGGAATAAAGAAGGCTTGATGTAACAGAAAATGTCAGGACAAGCGTTCAAGCTGGGTTGTAGACTATGTCAGTGAATTAGTATCCAAGGAAGAAGCAGAAGTGTGCAGGCAGAACCAAGGTTTACCTGGGGCCACACTGCACCATGGAACACAGCATCGAGTTCTTGTGTGCTGAATGGGTAGGATTCCCAGTCCAGGAAGATATCGGTGACCATTTTGATTCCAAGACGCCGTAAATTTTTCAGGGGGTTAATAAACCGCAGCTGTATCTGCAAAACAAAGACCTTGTTAAAAAGAAAACACAGAGAGAGAGAGCGTGCTCAACCAAACTGTGAAACTAGACCCCGGTTCCCCCGGGGAGACAAAATGAGTGCACCGTGCCGACTGCTTTTCTCACGGCACAGGAAAAGTGGAGAAAAGACCCCAATGGTGGGGCCTGCTCTGCATCACCCAGCCCAGGAGGCCACACCTGCTGTCCTCAGGGAAAACACTCACACCTGAGTGCCTTCAAATGACAGCACATTCTAAACAACACCACCTTTCTGCCATGACAGTGCCTTAGATTAGGGAAAAAAAAAACCCTCTCTTCAAGTCAAAGTGATTTTTCTTATGTTTTCATACTTGTATTATTATTTTACCTTTCTTAAAGCTAGCATTTAAAAATAATTGTTAAAACTATTTTAGGCTGCTGGGTATGGCAGTACACACCTACAATCTCAGCTACTAAGGAGGCTGAGGCAGGGGGATCCCGAGTTTGAGGCCAACACGAACACCTTAATAAGACCTTGCCTCAAAATAAAATTTAAAAAAGGCCTGGGGACGTAGCTCAGCACTAGAGAGCTTGCCTAGCATAGGTGAGGCCCTGGGTTCAATTCTGTGTCCCTAGCACCACAAAAACAAAAACAAAAAAATTTAGGGAGAGGCTACTCTGACCGAAAGAGAATGAGAAAAATGAAGCTAGGCATGAGAAGATCTCCACACAGTTTACATAAAAATGCAATTTAGTTTTTTTAAAAAAATCACTTGTTTAGAGGCCCAGAGCTGGAATGGGTGTGAGTCAATGGCAGAGATTTCTCTTAGCACACGTCGCTTGTCCTGCAGGCGCCTGCTCTCCTCTGTAAGACAGGAAACCACAGACGCCCAACAGAGGTGCAGGCTGAGGGGAGCAGTAGCTGCGCCTCCACCCAGTGTCACAGCACCAGTCCTGACCCCCACTTAAACCCTCACCGCGTGCAAACTCACAAACTTACATGAGAATGAAAGGTCCAAGATTTTCAACAGGCAAGAAATTTTAAAACTCTGGGAAGGGTAAACTTTACGGAAAGGAGAACTTCCACTGGATATTAGAGAATGAAAAGGTTTAGGCCACGAGGGGGAGAGACAAAGGCCTCAGAGATTCCTACCAACACAAAACCTAAAAACGCAACACACTGGGGGAGGCGCAACGGCTGCTCTCCCACCTGACTGCTATTGTGGGCACAGACAGGTAAGAGGCATCCACCCACCCTCCCATGCCCAGCAGTGCTCTACCACTGAGCTGCCGCCGCTCGGCCTCTCTCATGGCCTTTTACTCCCGAGGCCGGGTCCACTAAGCTGCTGAGCTGCCCAGGCTGGCACTACCACGCCCAGCTCTGGAACTTATTTTTATGTGTAACCTTATTTATAAAGAATCTAAAACCACCTGAAATGTACGAAGACAACAGAAATGCTCTCCCACAGTGACTCTCTAGTCTGCAGAGTTATTTGTGAAACTGAGTCTCATCTGTGGAGGCGTGTGACTCACACGGCACACTTGAAATCCAGTGAGTCGGCACCTCGGCCTTAATTAATCTGCCATGCGAGCCGAGAATCGCCTCTCACACCATCACCACTTGGCTAATTAGCCCAGTACATGTGTAGCAGTGGAAATAACGACGAACACAAGGAAGTGGCACCGCTACTGGTCACTGCTCTGCTTCAGTTCCCAGGGCTGTACTTTCATCAGCAGCTGAGTTGTGTTCAAGGAAGATAAAAACTACTGGTGGTATCTGAAGAACAAGCACAGTACTGTGCTCATTTGGGGCAAGTAACAGACCCACAATGGCAATGGGGGTCTCGAATACACTGCCCACCCTTCTTGGCCCCCAGCCCAGCGCGGGTTGGGGCTGTGACTCCAGGGCCACTGAGCACACTGCAGGAAACCCTGACACCCAGCAGCTGCAGACCTCGGAGGTCGGGATGGCTGGCACCCCTGAGTTTACGTGCAGCTACAGGTTACTCTGCTGCCTCACTGCAGTGCAGACTTCACTGTCAGTCAGGGCCCAGGGACACAGATGACGGGAAAAAGCGAATGTGTAACTTGGCTCATACACAAACACGGAGCACTTCAACTCACTCGGCAAAATGACCGCCGATACGTCATTACGCCACTTTGCAGAATTCCCTGGAAAGCGGCAGTGGGCTTCTGAGGGGTGTGCAAAACTCATCTACTGTCCACAGTCCCACCTCCTTTTATTTACTTTTTTGTTTTTGGTACCGGGGATCGAACTTGCGACCTTGCACTTGTGAAGCAGGTGGCAGAACCGCTGAGCTAAATTCCTGGCCCTCTTTTATTTACTTTTTAAAGTTTTATTGGTACATGTTTGCAGTACACAATGATTTCATTTATTGCATTCATTTCCTTTTAAAATGTATAATATAGCCTGCATCTTCTAGTTATACCTAAGTATAAGAATGAAGATTCTCATCACACAAAGACTGTTGCAGACACCTCTGCAGGGTTCACCAGACCTGACCCAGGAGTTGGAGCTCAGGCCCCGCCCCAGTTCCTGAGGAAAGGCCACTCCGCAGGACCCCTACCTTCTCTCGTTGCTCGAGGACGTGTGAGGCGGTGGCAGTCATGCACAGCAGAATCTGCAAGATCTTGGGTAAGTAGGCACGGAGGAGATGGCTGATGTTCTTTAGCACGATCTCCAGGCTGTTCAGGACGCCATGCTGCCGCCCCAGGGGGAGGACTCTGGCCAGATCCAGGGCTTCCACCGCTCGCAGGACTGCATCGTGGCACTCTCCTGCGGGGCAGAGGACGGGATGGGTGGAGTGAGGCATGGGTCCGGTAGTCTGCCAACGCCCTGTGGGCAGGTCCTTGGCCCTGATGCTGGCTGGGGCGGGGAGGAGAGGGCAGATCTCAGACCGCACTCCCAGCAGACAGGGGCTGGAGGGACGGAGGCTGGGGAGCTCGCCACAGACCCGGGTCTCTAAGTCCCCCTCAGTTTTATTCCAGCAGTCAAAAGCCAGAGCTCCTAGCAGTCTTGTTCCACCGGGCAGCTTCCTGAACAGTTTTCAGCACTCAGCGTTCACTGGGCCATGCTAAGCACAGAAACTGCCTTGCTGTATGATAAATCCCTGGATGGGTGAGAACTGGATGTTACATCTCTCTGGTGTTGCCTGGTTAGTGAATAAAACAAGTCCCTTACGGAAAAACAGAAATAAAAACTCCCACAACAGTGCTTTCAGGATTGATTGGACTCCATAATTCTTTGTTTTGTTCTGTTTTGTTTTCTGCAGGACTGGGGATTGAACCTAGGGCTTCTCCTCTGAGCTACAGCCCCAGCCCTTTTTCTATTACTACTTTGAGACAGATAATACCCAGGCTGGGCTCAAACTTCTGATCCTCCTGCCTCATCCTCTTAGAGTGCAAGGATTACAGCCATGCACCACCACACCTGGTTTTAAATTTTTTTCTTTTTAATTCTGTGAGACAGGGTCTTGCTGTGTAGTTTAGCCTGGCCTTGAACTCACTATGCAGCCCAGGCTGGCTTCGAACTCACAGTGATCCTCCTGCCTCAGCCTTCAATGTGCTGGGCTTATAGGCATGTGGCACTACGCCCAGCTATTTTTACTTTTGGTACCGAACTCGGGTCCTTCTGGTCCTTCCGCTTGCCAGCACAATCCCACTGAGCTAAATCGCTGGCCCTGCCTAGCTAATTTTAAAAAAAATTGTTCTCTCTTTTTAAAGAGAGGGTCTCGTGTTGTTCAGGCTGGTCTCAAACTTGTGCACTCAAGTGATCCTTCTGCCTCAGCCTGCCTGGTAGCTGGGATCACAGACATGTACCACTGTCCCTGGCTTTAAGTTTTACATAAACCATCTGTGACCACACCATGAGCTTCCTGATCCATATAACTAAATGATCCATCTGTTGTCTTATCTCTTATATCCATCCTCCTAGGATGGGGTTACACACTGAACCAAAACTTCCTAACTCAGTAGAGCCAACCTCCTTCACTGGCCAGTGTTACACCACAGAGAACCTGTGTGTCTCGTGGGCCTGTCACCATAGAGAGCAATATGGAACCAATTGCACCCGAGCCACATCGCAGCCCACGCTTAGTTTTTATTTTTAGACAGGGTCTAAGCCACTAGGCTGTTCAGGCTGGGCTTGCATTTGTGATCCTCTTGCCCCAGCCTCCCAGAGAGCTACGATTACAGGCGTGCACCTACCACACTTGGCTCGGAGCAAAGGTTTTCAGTCAGAAAGGACTAGGTTTGAACCCCAACCACACCAACTCCCAGCACCTTTCTAAGCCTCAGTTTCCTCATTTATAAGATAGGGGCAGTCAGGTAGCGTCGGCCTATGGCTGTCAGATCAGCTGAGCTGCCGCATGAGGCTGTCACAAGGCCGGCGGAGAGGGCTCAGCAAGTGTCACCGCGTCACTCACTCTCACTGACCCACAGGGCAGAGCTGCCCAGGAAGTGGGAGGACGCTAACCAGGGAAAAGGGATCACAGCGCGCAGTGCCTACCGCTCCCGAAGTGCTTCACTGGCTCGGCCAGCAAGTCCAGGAAGACCCCGACCTCCTCCGGCTCGGTCCCTGCCAGGAAGCGCAGGACGATGGCCGCGCGCATTCCCGAGGCGGACTTGCCCTGGGTTTTGCTCCCAGTTTTGTTCTTCATTCGCCCATACAGAATCCTGCAAAGTCAGGAGGACATCATTGTCTGTCTGCGCCCAATTCTCAAGCAATACTAGCTGTTCTGTCTCCCCAAAGGCTGTTGGGGCAACTTGACAGGTTTAAACGGGTATATTCTAAACCAAGGAAAACAAAGACAGATATCAGATACTTAATACAGATATTTACAAAAGCAGTAAATCATGGCTAAAAGGAAACAGGAAGAAAACAGACGAAGGCCAGAAAAGCTTTTCTTTGTGTGAGAAAAAAGCAATAAAATAGGCAAGTCAGAGGTCAATCTAACCCAGGAAAAATGAGGAGAATACAGAGACTAAAAGGAAGTGAAGCGCTGCAACCATGAGCAAATAAGGAAACTACCACAAAGTCAAGAGCAGAAAACACAGAAATACATAAGCAGAAGGAACTTAGAAGAAGAAAACCTCAACAGACAATGACCCATTACAGCACAGAGAGCTTTACAGGTGAATTTTTAAACTTTCAAGCAAAAAACCAAAACCATGTTGCAATTTCACAGCAGAGAAATCTTTGTGTTAATGAAGATGGAACACTTAATACTGAGATGAGTTAATGAATAAAATACATAAAACGATGTACTAATTTTGCTTATACAAATTAAAACGGTGCTGCACTAAAACCAAAAAAAGATTACCCAGGAAATACAACCATTAGTGAAGTCTGTTAGATTAATACAGATCACGGGCTCACAGGGGAAGTTAATATGACCACTTAATACACCTCAGTAACCTTCACTCTGATTACCCTGCATCCCAGGCCTAATTCAACATCTGTTCCTGGTAAAATCTGAAATAACCTGATGACAGAAAGCTACTTCCTTAACATCACACAATTCAAAATCTAAAGACAGTGGTTTTCAAACTTTTTGATAGTGGGACCCTTTTACATTATTACTGAGATCCTCAAAGAGCTTTTATATATGCAAGTTCCACCTACTGAGAGTGTAGTAGAAATTAACACTGAGAGCAGGGTGTAGGGGTGCACACCTGTAATCCCGGCATTCTGGAAGGCTGAGGCAGGACCATTACAAGTTCCAGCCCAGCCGGGGCAATTCAGTAAAACAAACCACAGAAGGGCCTGAACGTGGCTCAGTGTGAAGACCCCAGGCAGTGATCACCTCTGTCCTGTCCACCTCAGCAGCCGCGCTGTGAGGCGCAGCTCAGACAGTGGGGTTGGGGCTAGGGTTACTGTAACTCCAGACATGCGGCAACGAAGGCAGGCCAGTGCGGGCTGGTGCCACCATGATAAGCACCAAAGTCGCCAGCAGTTTACCCACCCCTGCCACAGCGCGGAGATGTCCCAGGAGAGACAGGAAGAAGCCTGGCCCTGGGCGGCGCCCGAAGTGGCCTCAGAGACCTATCCCCAGGAGCACAGTCAGCCTGCGCCTCGCCCAGCCCAGGATGGAGGGGTCCCCACCACCACCACAGCCACCCTCGGGCCACACGAGAGGCGGGCGGCCACGAAGCAGAACACCGGAAAGGTCTAGCAAGTGAATAGGGTAAGGTAATTTTTATACGAAGAGGTCAGGAAGACAGGAAGACACCGATGGTGCAGTCGCCTAAAATATGTAAAGCTCTGCAACACGAGCCACAGTTCAGGCTGGCTTTGAACTCACAGTGATCCTCCTACTTCAGCCTCCAGAGTGCTGGGATTACAGGTGTGCACCACTATGGCCACCTAAATTTACCTTTTTAACAATAAAGGTATATTTAGTAAGAATAAGTCATGAAGGAAAATGAAGAACTAATGATAATAATAAACACATCTACAAAATTAAAAAACTATTCAAATTAATTACTCAAAGATTCATAGATAATCAACATAACATTATTTTGCAAACAACATAATTAGCAAAAACTAGAGTCAAGCAAAATGCTCAACAGAGAGGACTTGGGTAAGTAAATTATGTGTTCCTGTATAATGAATGCTCATATTTTGAAACATTTCATGATCTAAAAATTCTTACAATATATAAGGTATGATCAAAAAATACAGGGCCAGGAATGTAGCTTAGCGGTGCAGTGCCTGCCTGGCAAGCCCAAGGCCCTGAGTTCGATCCCTGGTGCCTCCCACCAAAATACAAAGACCATTTAAAAGACACTTTGCCATTGATTCCCCTCAAAATACTTCCCCTCAGTTTGAACACACTTATCCCATTGTTCTTGCCACTTTTTTAATCTTCTCTGGAAGTCCTTCTTTCTGAGCATATCTCGAGTTGTGCTGCCATGGCCTCCCTGACGTCCTGACTCAATTCAAAGTGTTTCCCTAGCATGGTCATTTTGACTTTGAGGAAGAGCCACAGTCCCATGGTGCCAGACCCGGTGAAGAAGTGAATGAGGACACAGCATGCTTTCTCAAGGTCCCTTTTTGTTTGATGGCACATGGCAGTAGCATTCACCATATTTTTGGTCACACCTTGTAAACACCCTCATGACAGAGGACTCCAGAGCTGCTTCAGAAAGTGGCAAGAACAATGAGATAAGTCTGCTCAAAGAAAGGGGGATTCTTTTGAGGGGGATTAGTGGCAATGTGGCTTTTACTGTAATATCTTTTTAGTTAAATATACACTGCATTGTATTTTTTGTATATTTGTGTATTTGTATATTCACCTTATATTTTGGTGAAAAAATTATAAAATATTTTAGGCAATATGATTGCAAATATCTTTTAGAATGTGTATGTATATTCAAGTGGTTTTTGGTAGCTGGTATTTACTCTGGGCTTCATGCAACCATTTGAGATCTACTTTTAGAGAGTTAATATATTATTAGTATCGCTGAGATTTCCATTTTACAACTGTCTGACAGATCATAAAGTCAACAGTGCTTACTTCTGAGTTTGGATAAAGCAATTTCTGTTTTCCATCTTTACTATTTCATATCCACCAATAATTTTGACTTTATAGAGTCATTCATTCACTCACTAAGTATTTTGATGTGGATTATAGCAAACATCTTCATGGGATAAAAGAGCCATGGATGAGAGCCATGCAGACTCCCGTTAACGGGAAACACAGCCCAATGACCCTACAAGACTTGTGCCCCAAAATAGAACAATGCATCCCTAGGCTGGCTGACAAGCAAAGGGCTCTTTAATCCCATCCCACCATCCTTCCAGTACCCATCATTCCAGAGCTAGTGAGCACAAAGATTCACGATTCGTTTTTCGACTCAGCACATCATCTCTGTTCCACTCTTTGTAATTTATAAAGTACTACCTCTGCTAAATATCATGATACCTAGACATTGGAATGAGTTATTTCCTCTACAGTTAAACTGAGAAAAATTATTATACTTTCATCTAACTGTGTAACTTTCTTAAAAAGCTATTTATCAGTAAAAAATACCTCATCAGAATTGGAAACAATTCTGCTCGGTGGGCCGTTCCCACGACAGCACTTTCTTCTGAAATGCTGAAATGCACTATTTCTTCCTTAAAGGTTTTGTCATCAAGCAACCTTTGTAGGTTTTCCCTTTAAAAACAAAATATAGCACAAATCGTCATCCAAGTCAACGTACTTTGTGAACGTGTAAGAGCAGTGTGTATACACAGTCCTTACTGTGGCTGACATTCATAAAGGCAAATTCTCACAAAACACCTTCAAATTTCAAAAGGTAAAATGGATCAGAAGGGGTCAGATTTAGTCTGTACTTCAGCCGTTTAAAAGCATGATACAAAAGCTTTCTTTAGTTCATGGAGAAATTATAATTCCCTAAGTAAGTACCAAGATTTTATAGCATTATGTTAATGAAAGAAATTATATTAACTTTCACAACATATTTTTAAGTTAATGTTCCCTTTTCTACTTTATGATTGATAGAGAACAACCCTTAACAAATAATTTCCAGTTTTCACATACTGCCTTCAAACAGCATTATGACTAATTATCTTACAACACAGGGCAATTTCTCAGTTCTTTAAGAAATTAGTTTAAAAGGGGCTACTATGTAAAAAGATAAAAATCACCCAAAGAAGTAACACTTCTTTAGCTTTGTGTAACACACCTGTAAGGAAGGATATGAGGGTGTTTGTATGTCATGATGCAATCCAAGGTTACTTTCTGCACTGCTTGATCCTGGTGTAGCAATAGCTAGGAATAATGTTTGACAGAATAAATTAATGAAGTAATACATACAACAGTGTAGAAATTTACATGTGTTAATTTCCTGAATTAGATTTCCTAAAATCTAAATTTTTAGACAAGTCAGAGCTGAATCATGACAATAGCCTTACATTTTCCTAGAGTCAAAGGAGGATGCACAAGATATGTGCACAGAAAACTGGAAGTGAAATTCTGACCCAGTTCTCTGTGACTTTGGCCAGCCCTGGGCTGAGGAGAACCTGCATACTGTGAAGGTAACAGCAGAAAGGAGGGTGCTAGTATAGGAGGTCAGGCTCTGTGGCCTCTGACGGGTAAGCTCAGGGCACTGCTCCAGGGGCACAGGAGTTAAACTCAGGCCTCACACACAAAGTCTGTCTGAATTACGGGCAGGGTGGAGGGAATTCTGCCCAAGGGTCATTCATTCTAAAAACACTTAAATGAAAACAGAAAACTTCTCTCTCCAGGTGATTTAGAATGCTATCCAATACTATTATGCTTTTGATACTGATTTTTTTCTTGCAGCCATCTCTGGATTTAGGGACACATGCTGTCGCCGTGACAGACAACGGTTCCAACCACTGTAACTGCTGTCCTGCGTCAAGCAGACCTCAAACCCAGGTCCTCCACAGAGGCTGGACTGACCAGAGGGAGAAGCTGCCAATTTCTGTATAATCTGCCTTCTCCTCTAAAAGCTAACTCCTACAGCGTAATTCATCTTTACCTTTTTCACTTTAAGTACAATGTTGGTCAATGTTAGTGACCTGATATGCCTTTAAAGTCAAGCAAACTAATGCCACCCAAATTATTTCCCAAAGTAACAGAAAATATGTCTACTGATTTAAATACTAACTTAAAATCTAGACATGGACTTATTCAACAAACAGCGAAAACCTAAAAGTTACTTTGGCAAAGAAAATGATAGAGAAAATTTCATGAGAATTGGAGTGACAAGAATTTCTTTTACATACCTGAAGATATAACTCATATAATTTGGATTCCAGGTATAAGGCCCGTGGATTTGAAAATTTAGAGAAAACTTGCAAATGAACAATTAACTGCCTAAACAAAAACAAAATAGAGAATATCATGGAATTAAAGAATATCACCATTTTATTCCTCTGATGAGTATTCTAAACACCCACCCAAGTTTTACTGTTAATTACACAAACCAATTTTAATTATGTACATTTAGGAAATTACTCTCCAGAAATTCTCAATCTTAGGCCGGCCTCTCCCTCAGTCTGGGCTCCCCACCCCAGAAAACCCTTCAGGATGAGCTTAGAATGGTTCAAACCAAAATTAGAAAGAAAGCAATCAAAACTATGTCCCAAAGGTGAGCACAGGTGACCCTGGGAATTATTTCTTGTCCAATGATTTCCTGTCCAGCGGACAGCAAAGTGGCAGAATAGATCCTGCCTCACTTGCAAGCAATACGAACACCAATGCTGGGCAACCTTGGTCCAACATCTGAGCACAGTGGCTCCTTCACTGTGAAGGAGGAAGAGAGCAGTAATCTGGTTCAAAGTTAATCAGGGAGACAGGAACGCGGCCACACAAAGGACACCCGCTGCTGAAACAGACGGGAGGGCGCCACATGCGTTCACTTGCACAACTTCCTCATCCACAGACTCGTGTAGGGACCTGGAGAAACACTTCGCAAAAGCCCTTTCTCTCTGCATACAGTGTGAGGTACACATGCTAGAACCCCAAGGGGCCTCTGAATGAATACATCTAAGATCCAAGAGATTTTACTGCCCGTTTCAGGGAAGGAAGGAGAAGCAGAGTGGCGAAGATAAGCTGCATGTGGCCTTTGGGTTTCCCCGCCTAATTCACGTTTAGAGCCCGGTCCTGCATTTTGAGGCCCAGGGAATCAGAGAAAGTGAGATGCATCCTGTGCCCAGGGATCGTGAGCAGGGCGTCCTGCAGACATGGACAGCTGGGCAGAAAAGGCGGCACACACGGTGCCTCTGCCCCCAGGGCGAGTTAAACTGCGCATCTGCGCTTCTGCGGGAAAGAGGGCAAAGCAACGACCGCCCTGCGGTTACCACAGAGCAGAGGAGCTGGCAGGCTCGGCCTTCCTCAGATACCAGGCAGAGAAGCAGCCCTCGGCTTCATGGATAAACCTTCACATTTTCCCGCTGAAGCATCCACCCCTGTTCTAATGTTTATTAATACTTTCACATGCACCTCGCAGCCTCAAAGAGGCGAAGACCAGGAGCTGATTCATCCGTCCTCAGAGAAAACTTGCCCAGAGGGCCGTCCCACGAGATGCCCAGCCTGGCCGTGCGCAGTGCCGAGACGGCACCAAGAATGCGATGCCAGCTTACCGGGTGCAGGGACAGCATCTGGCTGGATCCTCCAGGTGTGGGGATGGGGCGGCGGACAAGTAACACACGGACCCAATTCTTTTTCTTTCTTTTCAGTGCTAGGGACCAAACCCAGGGCCTCACACATGATAGCAGTGCTGAACCACTGAGGTACAGCCCAGCCCCACCAGAAGGAATCTGGAAAGGGTTTGATTTTCGCGGAGCGCTGTGAAGAGTTACAGCGGAGGCAGGGGTGGGGCAGGCGGGGAGCTGGGGAGCGGCAGCCCGGCCATGCCCCTTCCTGGCCGGTGCTTTCATGCCATCTCCACAGTGGGGAAATCCTTCCCTGTCAGGCAAACCCTCGGCTTGCAGCCTCGAAGCTGTCCTCTCCATGTACCAAGGCTTCCCCGGGTCTATGCGGCAGAAGCATGTCATTCTTCACTCTGCTCCTTAACTCCTCCAATACTTTAAACGCCTTTTAATACTTTAAAAAAATCTTTCTTCTATAAAATCACCTCCGCAGGCCTTTGCTGGACTGTGACCGTGACCTTCCAGGGGTTATGTACACTCCATGCTGGAAGCTTGGCATTTAGCAAAAGACACTGGAGACACTGCTACTGGGATGAATTAGTAAGTGGTTCATGTTGAATTACTCAACAAATGAGATCCAGTTTTAAAATAACAGAGTAGCACTAATCCAGTGGATTTGAGGCACCTCAGTTCAGACAACCTTCAGAGAACCTGAAATGACTTCTGAAGGCACTTCTTTTTTTAACTATGTAGGTAAATTAATAGCCAAGAGAGTAAGAGCGTGTAACAGCGTAAGAAAAAAGTAACCAGCAGGAAATCAATGTAGAAGGCAGAGTAACAGTGCTGACACCCTCATTTCCAAGGAAAGGGTGTTCCGTTATGTGCTCTCCTCACAGCCATACGGTGCCTGTGGCTGCAACACAGAGCGAGTGTCCGAGAGGATTTAAGCAGGTGAGGCCCAAAGTGCTCACTTCTCAAAGACAGTGCAATTAAAAGGAGCTACCTCAAAAGTGCCTTCAATTCTGACCTTCAGTGTCCAAACAGCAGAGACTAATGGTAAGAAGCAGACATGAAGCCGGCACCGAGGAGAGGCGGGACCGAAGGCGAGGCAGACAGGCGCGGGCCTCACAGCCTTCGGGCCTGGGCCGAAGCAGGACTGCGTCCCCAGGAAACTGCACAAGCGCAGCCCAGCACTGTCTGCCTCCTTCTCTGTTCTCACACCCCCCCCACTGTTTCTCACACCAAGGCTGTTCAAGAAGAGCAAACTCAGAAGACTGACAGCTCTGCCCAGGCTGTAAAAGAAAACCCCAGGAAGTGCGGCACTTCTAAGTAACCATCAGGGTAGTTCACCTTGCCCTAGCCAGAAAAGACCACAGTCTGCCCTCCTACAACTGAGGATCTATGATCATCTGGTCGCAATGAACTCACTTTGCTGCCGCTCTGCGTGTCTTTTTCTTCTGGGGGGGTTCATCTGGGGGAGCTGCCTCTTCCTCCAAATCCTCTTCATCTCTGGCAGCAGGCTCCTCTTCCACTTCCTCTGCGGCCATCCCTCTGGCCCTTTTCCGCAGATCCTGGGTTGGAGCCACCTGCAGATCTGCTGGGTAGTACTCGTTGCTGGGGAGAGAGGGACAACACAGATGAGAATGCACACTCAGCTCTAAGGTCCTCCCTGAGTCTCAAGACGGAGGTCGGTGACACGAGAGACCCACATCAAGCTTCTCCTACAGCATCCTTCTTCTTTTATCGGATCCCTCACTGAAAGTCAATCACTAGCTGTGGAAGACGGCCCATTCCACTGGTACAGTACTGAAAAGATTTAAGAGGTTGATTTTAGACTAAAGTGAAATCTGCCTGTTCCTGGAACCTAACTGGTTAGGATGGATTATAGTAGAAGATTATAGTATTAGGGCCATGATATCATTTACCCCAGATGTGTTTTACTTTGTAATCTCCTTTGAAAAATACAGCATCACAGGGCTGGGGATTTAGCTCAGTGGTTCCAGCACCTGCCTTGAAAGCGCAAGGTCCCGAGTTTGATCCCTGGTACCAGAAAAACCAGCATCACAGCCCCCAAATACCCAAAGTGACCTTGAGCAAAAGAGCAAAGCCAGAGGCATTACACTGTAGGTCCTCAACACACTGTGAAGTGCTGGTGCTGGCATCAAAGCAGACTCACAGATGGACGGAGCAGCACGGAGGCCCTGGAGGAAACCCATGCATCTAAGACTAACAGATTTCCAGCAAAGGTGCTAAGAGCATGCAGTGCAGGAAGGAAAACATTACCAATAAACAGTGCTGAGAAATCGGATTTCCACATGCAGAAGAATGAAAATAGACACCTATCTCTCTTAACAGATACAAAGATCAACTCAAAATGGATTGATGAATACATTCATTATGTACTGCAAACTGAGTTAGTATTGGAAACTATAAAACCAGAGAAAGGGAAATGCTTGAGGACACTGGAACAGGCAAGAATTTTTTTTTTTACGAGACCCCAAAGGCATAGCAAGGAAAAGCAAAAGCAAACAGGAGATTGTATCAAACTAAAAAGCTTCTAAACAGAAAAATAATCAACTGAGTAAGACATCGTACAGAATAGGAGAAAATGTTCTGAAGCCATGGGCCTGACAAGGAGTTAATATTCAAATATATGAGGAACTCATATTAAATTGATCATTTGGGAGTTCTTTTGCTATTGAGAACTCCCAAATAATCAATTTATTTGGTTTTTTTTGGTACCGGTGATCGAACTCGGGACCTTGCGCTTGCAAGGCAGGCGCCGGAACCACTGAGCTAAATCCCCAGCCCCCAAATAATTAATTTAAAAACAGGCGTCAGACATTTTTTAAAAGAAGAGATACAGATGGTCAATAAGTCCATGAAAAAATGCTCCGAGAAATGTGTATCAAAACCACATGGAAAAAAACCCCCAAAAACAAAAAACCACATGGGATCGCCCAGGGTTTTAGCTCAGTGGTTCAGGCGCCTGCCTTGCAAGCGAAAGGTCCCAAATTTGATCCCTGGTACAAAAAAAAAAAAAACAAACCCCACATGGGATCGCTTCAGTCCAGCAGGCGTGACCATTACCAGAAAGGCAGAAGACAAGTGGCGCTGGCAAGGATGTGGAGAAGAGAGCCTCACACCCTGCTGAGTGGGAATGAGAATCAGTACAGCCATTTGCACATTCCTCAAAAAATGAAGGGCGGGGCTGGTACTGCACGGTCCGGCAATCTCACTACTGGGTACACATCCCAAGGAGGGGAGCCAGCACACTGAAAGGACTTCTGCAGGGCAACGTCACCCTCAGCGGTGGTCACAACAGCCAGGCGTGAAGGGGCAGGAAAAAGGATCAAGATGTGATATGTATGTGTGGCGATTCCTGACACTGAATACATTCATTCTATGCTGCAAAATGAATTAGATACTAGAAACAAAAGAAATGTCAAGAAATGGAAGCAACCTAATTGCTCATCAACCGACAAGTGGCTTAAGAACATGTGGTACATACACATAAGGGAAAGCCACTTAGCCATTAAGAGACCCTGCGGTTTGTTAACAACACAGAAGGAGCTGGAGGTCACGTGTTACGCGCAATTACACCAGACACAGGGAGGCCTGGAGCACACGAGCTCCTGCATGTCGGACCCAAGACGGCTGATCGCACAGGAGGTGAGGGCAGGACAGTGACGAGAAGTTAGGCAGGAGGCTGGGAAGGGCTTCGGGACACCGGTGTGCCCTGCACAGCAGCACCGTGACGGGCAGCAGCAGGGCACTGTGTCCTCTGCAGAACTGAGAGAGAGGGCTGAATGTTTCACCATAAAGAAACGTTCAGTGCTCGGAGAGATAGACGCTTAGCTGAGTTGAGCACTACACAATACACACAAGTACTGACACACCACCTGATACCCCCGTTACCGTGTTCAACTGTGTTCCTTTAATGTGTCAGTTAAAATATAAGTTTAATTTGAATTTTAAAATATATGTAACCCTAAATTTAGTTCCTTAGGGTATGGACTAATAAGACAGATGGACTATACGACACTCTATAGAGCTGTAACTCTTGGAAGCAGCCACCACGTGGGAGACAGAAACTGCATACCCAGGCAGCAAGAGTCAGGGAGCTCCTGCACTCCTCTCCTCTAAACTACACCTCTACACCAGGTATTTACTCCTGTGCTTATGAAATCCCACCCTCTTAGCTTTCACCTACTGCCATAGTTAGCAAATGTTACCTGGAAGTCCGTTATTCAATGCATTAATTTGTGGCACTTTATTTATTTATTTATATGACTAATGTTTTGTTGTCTACTGTGTGCAGTGCACCAGGCTAGAGAAGTAGGAAACACATTAGAGACTTACACGTTCTCATTCAAAAATACACTGATTAGGGCCGGGGATTTAGCTCAGTGGTTTCGCCACCTGCTGTGCAAGCGCAAAGACCGGAGTTCGATCCCTGGTACCCTCACCAAAAAAAAAAAAAAAAATACACTGATTAAAAAATAGACAGATAGGGCTGGGGATTTAGCTGTGGTTTCACTGCTTGCTGCGCAAGCATAAGGACCCGAGTTTGATCCCCGGTACCAAAAAAAGAAAGAAAAAATAGACAGATAAAATAACATGTTTGAGGATAGTACCTTACTAAACCTCCCAACAGAAACTCTAATTGCACAAGAAATAACAGCAAGGATCAACAAACGAGATCATATCAAATGTAAAAAGCTTCTGCACAGCAAAGGAAACAACCGAAAGTGAAGAGACAACCACCAGAATGGGAAAAAATTTTGCCAGCTATTCCTCTGGCACAGCACTAATATTAGAATATATAAAGAACTCAAAAAAATTAGACACCCCCCCCAATAAAAGACAATCAAAAAATGGGGGAGGCCCAGGGATTTAGCTCAGTGGTTTCGCTGCCTGCTGTGCAAGTGCAAGGACCCGAGTTCGATTCCCGGTGCCCCCCCCCCCAAAAAAGGGCAGGTAGGGCCCAGGGATTTAGCTCAGTGGTTTTGCCAAGGACCCGAGTTCCATCCCTGGTACCAAAAAAAGAAAGGGCAGGTGACGTGAATAGGCACGTCTTAGAAGAAGCACAAATGGCCAATAAACAGATGAAAAAACGTTCACCATCTCTGGCCACTACAGAAATGTGAATTACAACACTAAGATTTCATCTTGCACTGTTCTCCGTCTATAAGTAAATTTCTGGCCAAAGAATGACACGAAAAGGAGAAAACCTCGTTCACCGCCACACCCTCTGACCTGCTGCACCCTTGCCTGTGCCTCGGCCACAGTGAATCACTCACACAGACCTTCTCAGGTGTGCCCCGCCCTCTCCACTCAGCTACTCAGGCACGGCTGTGGCCCTCCGCCCTCTCCCGTCACCAATGCCCTCCTTCCTGGATCACTGGCAGCAACATCGCGTCTCAACAGCTGCATCTGCCCCCAGGTCCCCCTGTCACTGCACTACACTCTGTCCTTTCACTACAAGAACGCACCGGTTCCTGTCCCTTCTCCACTCTGCCGACAGCGTATTTCATTGGCCTCCCTCTGCATCAGATTAACCAGAACACTCTCTTAAGGTCGCCTCCAACTTCTCAGACAACTAGATTCCACTGAACACTCCCCGCTTCAAATATTCTCTTTCTGTGACACCTGGGACAACAGGTGGTCCTGCTGCTCCTTCTGTGGCCTCCTCCCCTGGTTTCTCATCTCTTCATTCTAAATGCTCGTGTCGATCCTTAGTAGTTTTCTCACTCTGTGTTCATATAGAAGGTGACTTCCTTCTGATGCCTTTATTTTTTTACTTTTTTGGTAATGGGGATCGAACTCTGGACCTTGCGCTTTCGAGGCAGGCGGTGGAACCACTGAGCTAAATCCCCGGCCTCTGATGCCTTTAAACACCACCATAAACTGATGATTCCAAATGTACCATCTCCAGATTGAGCCTTTCCCTTGAACTTCACACTTTTAAACTCTAGGCCTAAGTGACAGCTCCACTTGGGTATCTAGTATCCCAAACTGAACACGTCTTTAAAGGTACTCCTGATTCCCAACAAGCTGGCAAGCCCTGCATGCTGTCTAATCTCATGAATGCTAACACTTCTTTGAGTTGCTCAGGCAAAAACCTTAGGAGACATATTCAATTCCCACCCCTTTTCCAAGTGTTTTGCAGACACTGCACAACACCCATAACGTATACAACCTGCTGGCAGATCCTACGGCTGGTCTACTGCAAGCCTTCAAAATGTCAGGCTGAGGCAGGAAGATGGCGAGTTCGAGCCCGGCCCGGGAGTGAGACCCTGACTCAAAATCAAAAAGTACTGGAGGACCAGGCCAGGGCGGCAGCTCAGTGCGAAGCTCTGGGTTCAGTCCCCAGTATCTCACATACACACACAACAGTGTCTTATAGAATCGGAAACCTTCAAAAGTACTCATCTCGACTGCTACAGCTGTTGGCGAGTCCCCAGCCTGGCTTGCAATCCCTCCTGCCTGGTCCCGATGCTGCCACGCCGTGGTGCACTCTCAACACAGCAGCCAGGAAACCTACAGCTCAGGTAACACTGCCTGCCTCTGCTTCCCGCCGGCCCGGCCCCACTTTACTGATGATGAGGCCAGCGTCCTCACCATCACTCAGAAGCCACAGCTCGGGCTGCTGTTTATGTTCTGCTCGTTTCCAACCCCTCTCCCCACCTTATCTCCAACCTGTCTGCACCGAGACGCCCTTGCTGTTCTCTGAACAAGCCAGGGAGCTGCGGCTCACACTAACCCTGCGGTGTTTTCCCACGTAAGGAAACATTCTCAGAAAATATACTTCTTACAGACTGGGTGGTTGTTTACACACCAGGGGCCCATCTGTAGAGTTTAAAGCTCTGGACTCTCACCGACACAGCACAGCTATCAGAACAGGGCTCCAGGGAGCTCTTGTTCTTCGAGTTCACACATTGCTCAGCACTGTGAGAAACAGCGAGAGGCTCAAAAGAATAGTAGGGGTTGGGCCACTGGGAAAGATCTTCCAGTCCCAGGCAGGTAATGAGACAATGCACAGGAGAGAAGAAACACCAAGGCCTCTCTCGGCACAGTGATCAGGCTCAATACGGTCCTGCTTATTTAGCAACCTGGAACATTTTTATTAGTCATATAAAATCAAGTGGTGAGCAAAACTAATTTACTTATTATCTGATAGTGTTAGAGCTTTACAGAAACCATGACAGACGCACAAAGAACTCAGCCAAACTAAGGAAGTGAATACTTCTCACCCTCTCTTCTGCAGACCCGACCCGGAACATATTCCCGGAAGAGGATACTCACTTGATAAATCTCAGGAAAAGTGGGGACAGCTCCCTGGACCGGGGCTCCACTCTCTCTGGGAATTTTGCCAGAGCCCGCCATAGCAAAAACCGGAAGTTGGTATGGTCGAGTCTTTCCTGACAGTTGGTCTGCAGCACTAACTGCTCCTGATACAGAGCCCCGGCGCCTCCTTCCTGGGTCTGCTCCCAGCTTCTGTCTCCAGCGGGCTTCTCCTCTTCTATGTCCCTCTGCAGTTCTTTCTCTGCAGAGAAAAAGTCATCATAGCATTGAGAATGTGAGTATTGCGCTATCTGTTTCAGAGAGAGAGAGAGAGAGAGAGAG